AGAGAGAGAGAGAGAGAGAGAGAGAGAGAGAGAGAGAGAGAGAGAGAGAGAGAGAGAGAGAGGAAGGAAGAACCGGTAAAGACATATGAGTAGGCAATCCAAAAACATACCATGATACCAGTGAATATACAATCCTCATTCAATTTGGCCATTTGCAGCAATACCAAGGGGATGGAGGAGCAGGGGAGAGCAGGGCTGCAGGAGGCTCGCACAATTTTGGGGGAAAAAACGAAAAAAATAATTCCGAAATACCTGCAGTGGGGACGGTCAGCTCAATGATGATACCTCAAGGACGTAGCCCAAAAAAAGAAAAGAAGAAGAAAAAAAAAGGATTCGACAACAAGTAACAATTGAGATATAAAATTTCATGTTCACCAACTATTCTCTTTCACAAATGAAAAATAACAAACGTTCACTTACATATGATTCCATAACAATTTTGATTCTTTAATTCTTAATATTTCTTTAATTTTCTTATCATTATTTAATATTTCGAACCAATCCGCTACATCCTGTGGTAAGTTTGACACTTAAAATTAAGGTCGTTTAAAACTTAAAATGAAAAAACGGATTAAATGCCATTAAAACCAAAGAATACATCTGTCATTTGTAATCATCAATTAATAATAACGCCTAATAAAACGATATAAATAATCTCAGGCTACCAGAGTGGCCTGGACCAACTTGCCTGGTAAGGAAAAAAGAAAAAAAATAAAAATAAAAAAAAATCATCTTAATGTTAAAAATTCGTGAGGAGTTTGGATTTTTTACTCTGAGACAAAGTTGTTCAGTTCATTTTTTAGAGGGTTTTGTTTCTTTTTTTTTTTTTTTTTAATGCAGGATCCTTCCCTGGCCTTCGCTCGGGCAGGGGCTCGGGCAACTAAGGTGACCCAGGCGGCCTGGTTCATAGCCCATAATTAATTATAAATTATCATTAATTTGAATTCCATTCCTTACTTACCAGTCTCTCTTGGGGGTCTATCTTCAGCCCTCGCAATCCACGTCGGTGAGCCTTGGAAGAATTTTCTTTGTGTTCCCAATAGCATCGTAAACATCCACTCTCGTCGTACGTCTCTCCTCGCTGCAGATCTTTGAATCTCAGGTACAGGAGCTCGTCTCCACTGCGAAGGCCCATCCTGGTCACTATAATGTGTATTACGTATAATTTATATTTACAAAGGTATATGTAAAAACATTGTAGAAATATACGGAGGAAAAGAACGACAGACGTTCAGACAAAAAAAGGGAGGCGAACAGGCAAAACAAATACGGTTAGACAGACATGGAAAGAAGTTTCCTTTCTTTTTTTTTTCTCTTTTTTTATGTTTTATTATTTTTTATTTTTTGTGTCCATGCCCAGGGCCATCCTAATGGTCTCTGTGTAGTCCTTCCGGACAATGTCATTCCTTAGACTTCGAAAGTTCGAACGACACAGAGAAAGAGAAGATTAGCATGGCCCCTGCGCAAGGATGACGCACATAAATCGAGAAATGGTTCAGGAAAAAATATATATATATTCTGTGTACTAGGCTACCAGAGTGGCCCGGGACCACTTGCCCAAAAACATGTTTTTTTTACTTTTACTTTTATTTTTTACTTCAAATTTTGTCAAGAATTGCGATATTACCCTGAGGCAAAAGGTGTTCAATTTGCATAACATTAGTTTTTTTCTCGGATTTTTTTTTTTGTCTTGTTTCGGTTTATTTTGCTGGGACCCTCCCTGGTCGACGGTCGTTGCACGGCATGCCCAACTAGGTCTGTAGTGGGCAACTGTGGCATATTTTCGTTTCTCACGAGCAAGGTGGATGTAACCAACTGGCGCGTGGCAACTGTGGCATACTGATACCACACGGGCCCCAGTTAGGGCCCGGTTCTGTAGTGGGCACGGTTTAGGCCTAGGTACCGGGTCAAGATGGTCCCAACTAGGTCCAGGTAGGCCTAGGAACCGTCGGTTCAGTTTAGGGTCCGGTAGGCCTCGTTTAGACCCCACCAGACCCAACGGCTAGTTGGTTAGGCCAGGAACCGGTCCATCGGTAGGACCGGCCGACAGCGCAGTTTAGGCGCCACTTTTCAGAGTTCGAAATCGGATCTGAACCGTTGGGCCTGATCAACGGTCCAGACCCGAAGGCACCAGTAGTTCTGAGGCCGACCTAGCACTATATCAGCTGGGTACCGGCCTCAGTCGGTAGGTTAGTCTACAGTTGGTCTACGGTTAGGCTACGAGTTAGGCTTCAGGATTAGCGCAGCATTTCAGCATGAGGATGAGCAGTGAGAAGGGAATTAGCGCAGCAGCAAGGAGGAACAGCGCAGCAGCAGCATAGCGCAGCAGTGGAATAGCGCCAGCCTCTGGCCCAACCCGCGGCCCAGCGCCCAGCCCTGCTGTGCCATAGCTGCGTAGCCAGGTACCAGGGAGAAAGGCTTCGCCTTTCCTCCCTCTTCTTCCTCTCTCTCTCTCTCTCTCTCTCTCTCTCTCTCTC